TCCCAGTGGAAGTAACTATATTTTGCTCATGTACCGCCGGACTTGTTACTTATGACAAGTACTATTTCTGCAAACTGAGAAAAAGAAGAGTTAACCTTTATTTTTGGGATTCTAATCCAAGAATTTAAATGAAACTGTTCTGCAGTGTTACTTTGCAATTAATGTGCATATTTTACTTGTGGGTGAGGCCTTCTTTTATGACTTATCCTTTAAGTATAAATATTGTTATCAGTCCTTTTAGAAGTAGAATTATGGGCTACACTGCCTATTCATGATGTCACTGGAGTTGAACCCCATGATGTCAGCGAAGGCGCTGGAGCATTCTCAAAACAAATATCTTTTTCCAGGATGTCTCTGAGCAACCGGCTTCACAACCTTTAAAGCACATAACCTGATAGCTTGTTTAGAAATGCCAGTAAGTATTGATATTTTCATTCATTACACTTAGGATGATGAGACAATTGAGTTAGCACTATCCTTTAATGAGTTTACGTTTTAAGTGATTCTAATCGACCGTGAAACACTTAAATCCCAACGTCACGACACTATTAATCAGAAGACTTTAGTTTTGAAAACAGTTACCTTAGTTTCTCTATAATTTCGTGTAAACATATGGAAAAATCACCTTTGTAACAGATGTTCTTTGTTTTAGTGGGGCGTAAGCACTTTGTCACTCGACAGCCACAGTAACAGAAGGATCTGATTTGCGTGACACGAAATCAACTTTGATGTCTATCCAATGTTTAGTAAGTGTACTGAGGCAGCAGATGTCATTTTTATTGCAAGTGAGCAGCTGGATAGCAACTGGCATTAGTTGTCATGAGTGGTAATGCAGGCAGTGATAATGAACAAACAAGTTTGATGTGAACTGACAGTGACAGCTACAGTGAGGTCATGATTTATGTAAATGTATCCGCTCCTGTTTCATGGCTTACCAAAACATGTTAAACTGTTAATAAGTACTGAACATCAGAGCTTTCACTTTGGAAGATAAGTAACTACTTGGTAGAAGACATTTTTTTCAATTTTATTTATTTTATAATTAGTGTTGTTTTATCCGCTTAATAGCTTGCAATGTTTGACAGTTCCTTTGCAGCTTCTTTCCCTTTATTCTTTATTCAATAATGAAATTTGAAGCAGCATGACATGGCCAAAGCCTGATCAATTTGAAAACTAGTAATTATTTGAAATATTTGAAGGAAAATTATTATTATTATTCGTTAGTATGTTCATCAAAGCAAATCCAGCTGTTTGGATCCTTCGCAATTATTAGACTATTGATCTTTTGTTAAAGGTTGTTTGTGAAGAACTGGTCATGTCATCTTAGAAAGTCCATAGCGATGCAGTGGTAACGTTCCTATCTGTGAGCTAGGAAGCCTGGGTTCAAGTCCCATCAGCTCTGGTGGTGTATATTAACATCCCTGAACATGTTGATTAAAAATTATCTCTAGTGAAAGTGCATATTTGTTATTAGAAAGTCCACAGTGGCATGTCCAGTTGTAGCTCTAAGTTGTTTTATGCTGATTTTCAGTAAGCCAGTAAACTGAAATGTGAATATGTTTTATACTGTCGTTACTTTTTCAAGTTTGCTTAATTGTGTTTCAGCTACAAACCAGATTTATTCTTGGGTTTTAAATGATTTACAAATGTTGCAAATCTATGCTAGGTTTCATTGCAATGCAAAGCAACATCCAGTTTGAATTTGAGTGGAGATGGTAGCAATTTGAGATTGTTATTTTTGGCATTAATGAATGTTCCTCGTTGCTTAGAAATGACATCACAACCGATAAAGGCATATATAAATAATAATGTTCTGTGGAGATGCAAAGATAGTTAAATGAACAGATGACATTCCTTGATAATAACAAGCATTCAAACATTATTAGATCACCGTGGTTAGCATAAGCTTTGATATTACCTTCTGCAACCACCTGAACTTATCAACGTCTGTACTTCTAAGTAGCATTGGTGTTGTTCAAGGAGCATTGTTTCCTTATTTTAAAGGTTTGGCATACAGCAGAAGTACATATCTTCATTTGTTTACTTAAAAAAATGGCTGTACCCCATTACCTTAGGTAGAATTACAAAAAATGCTTGCCTTCAAATTGTATCATATCATGTTGAAACACCTCAACGTGTTTACGTAATCAATTACTTTTAAAATACAGTAACTATTTTTACATCAGTAAATTGCACAACCATTGTACAACAGCCATGAAATGAATGACCATTGAAAGAGGGAAGAATTTTGGCCAAGACAATGACGGAGTTTCCCACTCCTCTGCTTTGAAAAGAGCTATGGAAGGTTAATATCCAGAGTAGTACAATCCCTATACAGATTGATAAGTTTTAAATGAAGATGGAATTCCCAGCAACTGACAAAAGGATTTGCAAGACAAGGTTTTATTTTTAACTCTTTTACCATAACAAACTAAAATCAACATAGGTTAAACTTTACCCAATGGTAAAAAAAACACCACTCCATATAAAAGAAAAGACACTTTTGCATTAAGTAACTAATGCAACCAAAATTTGCAGCACAAGACATATTTACTTATGCCACATTTATGGCAGATATGTAGCAAAGCAAGGATAAGTCTCAAAATGATCCCAGCTTTCTAGCAGGCTCACTTCTCTCCACCACAACAGGCCAAATCTTTTTTTTTTAAAGTGTTTTTAAAAATTATTTCACTGAGACTGAGCATTCTGGAACAGAATTCTACTAGGAAGGTGCATTTTGGCAAATCCATGTTCTGAAAGTTTGAAAAATCCTGTCAGTCCAGTTCCCTCCTTTCAAACATAAAACAAACTTCTACAAGCATTTTGCCTAGTTCCTAACACAAAAAGGGTTCACCGTGCCTTTCACAACTTAAGTTGCTGCTCCTCCTCCACTGTATTAAAACCGTTGTCTCTCTTTTTCTGTACAAAAAAAACAGCTTTCTGTGTCAAAATATGAATCCCAATACATGATTTTCAAAAGGTATGGGATTTACATAGACTTGCCTCTGGGGCAGAATTAATATGATTGTCATTCCTCTATTCAGGACATTTTATTTTATCTATTTTTAACAGCTACCATACCATAATCTATTTTGGAAATGAGGTCAGACTGGTGGGAATGTGCAATTAATTACTCAAGATAATGTTCAAGCAATGACATTAATAGGGCATAAAATATTGCTATTTTAATGCTATAGTTTTGGAAATGTTAACATTTGTGGAACATTTGGAAATATTAACACTTGTGCTCCAGAACTTGCCACATTGCTAGTCAAACTCTTCCCGTACAGCTACAACACTGGTATCTACCTGACAATGTGGAAAATTGTCAAGGTTGGTCCAGTACATAATAAAAACAGGGCTACCCCACTGTTTCAGATACTACCCCATCAATCTACTCATGATCATCTATAAAGCGATGGGTTATCATCAATGCTATCAAGCAGCACCTGCTCAGCTATAACCTGCTCACTGACCCTCAATTTGGGTTCCACCAGGTTACTTAGCTCCTGACCTTATTACAATCTTTGTTCAAACATGAACAAAGGAGATGAATCTCAGAGGTGAGACAAGAGCAACTGTCCTTGATGTCAAGAGACAACAAGGTGCAGGGCTGGATGAACACAGCAGGCCAAGCAGCATCATAGGAGCAGAGGCTTGCCTTTCTGCTCCTATGATGCTGCTTGGCAGCCTTTCTGCTCCTATGACGCTGCTTGGCCTACTGTGTTCATCCAGCCCTGCACCTTGTTGTCTCGGATTCTCCAGCATCTGCAGTTCCTACTATCACTGTCCTTGATGTCAAGGTTGTATTTGACCGAACGTGACAAGGAAGCTTTAGCAAGGCTATAATCAATGGGAATCATAGAGACAAATCTACACTGGCTGTAGGCACACAAAGGAAGATGGTTGGACATCAGTGATCTCAGCTTATGGACATCTCAGCAGGAAAGTTCCTCTGTGAAATGCCTTAGCCCAGTCACCTTCAGCTGGTTATCACTGTGATCTTCCTTCCTTCAACTGGTCAGCAATGGGGATATTCATTGATGCTTACATAATGTTCAGCATTATCTGCAACCCCTGAGAGACTGAAGAAATCCATATCTGAATGGAGCAAGACATGGACCATATTTAGGCTTAGGCTGACAAGTGGCAGTTAGTATTGGCGCCATCAGAAGTGCCAGACAAAACTGAGAGAATCTAACCATCACCCTTTGACATTTTGACCGCATCACTATTGCTGAATTATGCACTGCCAACAGCTCGGGGGTTACCATTAACCAGAAATTGAAGTGGACTTGCCATTTAAGTATTATGGCTACAAGAGCAAGTCAGAGGCTAGGAATCCTACAGCGAGTAACTCAGCTCCTGTCTCCCCAAAGCCTGTCCACCACTTATAAAGCACAAATCAGGAACATGATGGAATACTCCCCACTTGTCTGGATGTGTGCAGCTCCAACAGCACTGAAAAGCTTTACCCA